GATAAATTATATAACATTGCATTGTATTGATAAGTACAATTTATGCCCAAAATTAGAGCTTCATGTTATGTCTCAGAAAGGCGGAATATAATGTAATATTCTACACTTTTGTTTTTATGCTGGCTTGACAATTATTTTATTCTTCCACTTTTCTGTGAGATCAAGATGATTGAAAAAGTGTTCATTAACCAGTGTTCATTTATCTTGTACTATTATTTCATTTAGCTTATATTTATAAGATTTATTCTCAGAAAATATGACTAGGTCATTTTCTTAACTACATACTGTTTAATTCTGTTTATCTTATTATTTTTCTTAATTCTGTTTATCTTATTATTTTTCTTAATTCTGTTTATCTCATTTTTCTGTGATTATTAGCAATCACAAATTTAATGGAATTGCACGCTATACCCATATATAGTTATTAAAATGCTTTTCTAAGAAACAAGAAACTGAAATGGTCCATGAGACAAGAATCTATATGCTTTTAGTACACTTATTAGAATATTCACTTCAGTTCCCTTTTTATTCACTTCATTTCAATTCACTTATTAAAATATTACAACATCCATTATAGTTTTCTTGCTTCCTGATTAGAAATTACTTTCGATGGCAGATTATGACTATCAAACTATAATAAGTTTTATAATCATTTGTCTTTCTCAATTGTTTTCTTACAATCAAATTTTTGTAATCTAAGACATAGTGGAATGCATTAATCTTAAATAAACGTTTCCGATATCAAAGTTTCACTTTATTAAATGCACCAGTATAATTTAATACTAAATTTAACATACACTCAGCGTAACACAATCAACATGAGCATTTCACACAAATAAAACAGAATGGTAATGCCATGATAAAATATATATTCGTCACTGGCTTAGTAAAGTAGTTATTATCTAATTGGAAAAAGAATGTTTTGAAATTTATTTCGTTTAAACTTTGAGAGTTTCGAGGTACCGCCTTTGAGATTTTACAAATATATTTCACGCTTTAATGATATTCTAGTAATTTAATGTTCTATAATTGTATTATAACGTAAATATGATTATTATAAATGGATGCTTTAAATGAAGTTGAAAATAGGCAATTATAACAAATTTTGTATCAAAATATTATAGAATACTGGAATCAGAAAAGGCACTATTAAACAACAGATGAATTTCAGATTTTCTTTTAAATATTGCCATAATTAATTTTCATGTTAATTCGCCAAACTGTAAAGTTTAGGATAGTACATAACAGTTGCGTATTTATTAATGTACCGAAACACTGAGTAATTTGTTACAAATAATGTTATCTGTGCTTAGAAACCTTAGTTTGCGTTTACAGTTTATAGAGTACATGCGATTGCAAGCACAGTTGTTTCAAATGTTAAAATTAAATGTTTTAGGTAGCTATTTCCTGCATACTCCTAACATTCCAATTATAAGGAAATTTTGAGGTTTTAACAAAACTGAAAAAGTTTCGGCATAAAAAATTTCACTTTAACTACATTTTTTTTATTTTAAAGTTTTTAAAGATTTTTCGAAATAAGCACACACATGCTTTTCAAGACTATATTAACAATTTCAGTTTTTTAATGTTACTAAAATAACAAAAAATATGTCTACCACCCTCATTTTTCGGTTTGGAGAGCTTAAAAATTTTCGAAATACTCATTGAAAAATTACATTTCCAGAAATGCGTATTTCATGTAAAGGATGCATGAAGAATGATTATATTACTTACTTTCATGACTTTTATTGCAAATGACATGTAAAATTAGGAGTTATCTAAACTTTCCTCGAGATCTAAATAGTGCCAGTTGAATTTTTTCAAAAGCAAATAAGGAAATTATTATATCACTAATTTTCTTCTCTCTTCAAAATAAGTTTCGAATATGTTTCATTTTTGTTAAAGTAAGAGCTTTTTCCATTGAAATTTCTCTTCTAAGTGTCCATTATATCATATTTTTAAACTATTGAATTAAAACATGATTCCAGTTTTAAGAGCTGATATGTGCAAAATTTTTATTTTTTTTCCTATGCTTTGATTAAACGAAATAATTAGATTTGATAAAATTATAGGTAATTAATTGATTTAATTTTGAATAACTGCATAAATGAAAAAAAGGGTAATGCTATTATTACAACTGAAGAATAAATACAATTGCATTTCAAAACTCAAACTAGCTGTTATGTAGGGTGTGACATTTTGTCATCTTGTTTCTTTAATATCCATAAATGGAAGATGATGAATTTAAGAGCAGTATCAGTTGTATGTGAGCTAACACTGACATCCCAACCATCTTACTACTATTAAAATATATACATTAATATTGGATTGTATTATATTAGCGATTATTAAAAGAAATCATGAGGTATGTATGCTATTGCATAATTAAAGATCAACCTTTAAGCCCATTTAACCCTATTATATGCAGTTCTCTTTTATGTTCTTACGAAAAATTCTAAAATTGATTCTTAACGAAATAATTAAATATTACATTAGGAATCTTCAGTAACAGTGTAATTTACTTTTATTTCATTAATCATAATTTAATTTATAATGTTATATATTGTATTTCATAATAAGATTTTAAAGAAACCAATTATTAATTCATTTTAATTATTAAGCTAAGGCAAATAATTGTCATATTTGCATTTTTGGGAAACTTACAAATTTCGTTATGTACACACAGATGGGTGTGAATTAAATAAAGATTGAAAAAGAGAGTGATAAATAAATCTTAACATTCACGAGATGATTCTAAAATTCACAGTCAACAAACTCAGTTTAAAACTCTATTTACAATAAAATTATTACACATATTTAATTTAAATAGATTATTTAAAAATACACCTAGCTTTCATTTTGTTCTGTTATTTATAAACACAGCTGTAAATTAAAATGTTATTAACTCTATTATTCTGCTATATTTCCACTCTGCATTTCACCTGCTTCGCTTGCTAGAAATAAAAATTGTTTTCATATAGAAATTTAATACACTAAAATTTCAATGCATTACATTTTTCAGAACATTTGGTGAAGTAAAATAAATTTTCATCATAAAAAATTAAAAATCTGAGGGAATCTGTATTTGCAGTTTTGAATCTAGTAAGCTAACAGTGTGTTTGCAAATTTAAAGTAGTTAATAGTATGTTATTATTTATTCTATATTCCAAACATACATAAACATTTCAATAAGTGGTTTCGGAAATTGGAACGGAAATAAAAAAATAAAGTATTTGTGCTTTTAATGTAGCTTAAGAAGTTAATTATGCAGGGCTAGAGTAGGTTTAACTTTCACCCTCCACCCCGATCGATACTCATTGCATTTTCCTTAGCAATGCTTGGAGTTGTAATCACATTTGTTTTTTGCAATGTTCAGTTCTCGAACATCTGTAAATCTATAACAATTAATGTACTAAAAATAAATCTTGAGATTATAACATCTTTATTTTCTCCAGTTTTAAACGAAATAAACTTTTTGGAGCTTTTTAATCATTATATATAGAGAGATAGCACTTAAGTTCATGATACAACAAAACTCTAATATACTGTATTTGATACCTAGGTTGTAAGTGTGCGGCTATTGTAAATTTTGCTAATACAGTCAAATAATCTGCGATAAATGCTAAGAATCAGATGAAATTATTTCTCATTATTATTTACACACCAAATCAAAAATAATTTTTCTGTATAAAAATCCTGGCTGGTAAAGGCATTAAGGTGGAGGGAGACAGCATTGCTTAGAAACGAGGAGTTTAGTTCTAGTGTGATGACAGTGCCGAAGGGGATTTCAACTTTGCGGTCTATGATAATCAGTAGGCACTCAAAATCGCCTCATTTGTGAACATGCATATTTAATATAGCAATAATTTGAATTCGCATAACACTATCCGTATGACCCCTTTGTCCATCTTATTACGCATGCAGTTACGTAATCATTTTCGAAAGGTTCTGTTTAAATGTTCAATAGGAGGCATTTTCCAATTAAATTATATGTAGTCAGCAAATTTAGTATCACTTAATCCTTTCTAACGAAGTATCCTTACTGAATTTGTTTTGTAAACCGCAGGATTACTTTTGTTCACATGCATACTTGCTGTAGGGAAAGTTTTAAAATACCTAAAAATGCGGAGGAGTTCTCAAAGATTCTCAAAGAGTTATTCTACATAACTTCGCCATTTCATATTTTCCTTATAATAAACTTGATTGTATGTAATACTTCACTAAATGATAAATAGACAACTGTAAATCAGGGGGAAAATTCATAGATATTTTAAGAATTTTGTAATTTTAAAAGAAACAAATATATGGATGTAAACAAAATTTTACAAATCCATTTTTCGGAGAGAGCTTAGTAAGTAAATGTGAAAAATTTCATGTGATGATGTCAATAAATCTTAATCATGAGCCTTGCCACATTAATATCTGAATAAATTATCATAATTTTAACGCATTTGTAACTTTGTTCTCAAATAATTACAAAACAGAAGCATTATACTTTGTATAATACACATTCCAGCTACATAAAAAAGTTCAAATCCACTGGTTTAAATTAGAGAGTTGTAGACGGCCAGTAGAAAAGAACTGAAGGATTAAACGAAAGGTTTTTGACACCAGTGGATTACAGACTATGTCCAAGCGAAACGTAAATAGTAACAGAAGTATAATATCATCCGGGTACATTCACCTCAAAGACCGAGTTCATTTCGCAACGTAGCACAAATCGTCTTTGGTCCGATGCGTTTCATTTTTAGGGTTTGGAAGCGATGAATATCCAGAGGTCTCTGAATGGAAGCAAGAGGCTGCACTACTCTAACCCAATGACGATGAGTTCGATAATTAAGAGATCGTTCGAGGAAAGATGAGCTTGACGCTCCACATTTCTGCAGTAGTAACAGTAAGGAAGCATTACCACTCTCCGAGTTTCTTTTCTGTTCCTTTGGCAGTGTTATCCCTTTCGGATAACTGGGCGAGAAAAGTCGTAGTTCGTAGCCTATCTGTCATCAGACTAGGCTAGGGAGGGGAGCTCGGGCCCCTCCCTGGCTGTTGGCATAGGAGGCGTGGTGGTAGTAAAGTGACGGATATGTTGCCACGGTGAGCGATGAGTTCTCCGAGGCTGCCACCGAGGAGGAACCTGTATCATGGTACAGTATAGGTACCCGTACCATCCGCTGGGCGTGGGCCATGTTGGCTGCTTCCAGCTCGGCAGCTAGTTGTCGCTTCCACTTGTTGCGACGGTTCTGGAACCAAATCTTGACCTGTGTCTCCGTGAGGTGCAAAGACGCAGCCAGACCAGCCCGTTCGGAGCTCGATAGGTAACGCTTCATGTCGAAAGTCGACTCGAGCTGGAAAACTTGACTGCGGGTGAAGACTGTGCGAGTTTTTTTCTTTCGCCGATTGTTCTTTCCCTTCTTAGCGTCGCTGTCACCGTTGCTGCCGTTGCCCGCGGAGCCCCCACCGCAGCCGACGGTCGCGCCACTCGGTGCATGGGGAACGGGATTGTCGTCGGCGACAGCGCTCGGCGAGAGGGGACTCGATGCTCGGCTGTCAGAGTTGAGGAAGTCGTCGGCAGGAGGCGGACTGCTCGCCGGCTGACAAAGACCTATGAAAGAGAGAAAAACACGCAGTTTAAAATTTCAGTTTTGTGAACAAGAATTAAATACTTCAGCTAAAGAAAGAATTCTTCACTTTTGATGCTAGAAATATCTGCCGTCTATCTATAGGTCGTCAACTTCTAAGTCTCCCCAATTTTAGTCATCATTATATTGCGTTACAACAGGGTATTTATCACTCACGTGGTCTGGCAAGCGTTGCCACCCCACGAACAGAAGATTTTTTTTTTATTTACCATTCACATGACATGGCAAATTGCTGTTTTTCATATTTGTTGCCAATTTATGCTTCTTAAAATCTTAACTTATTTTCAAAATTCATAGAATACATTGAACTAAAACAATTTCCTTATACTTAACAATTTGTATTTTTATTTTATTTCCTACAAATTGTCTCGTTGGTGTAACTTATAATTTGTATGGTTTACAATATATTTAATAGAGAGTTTATAAAAACATTTACATCACTGTTTTGATTAATGACAAAATTATTAATGCCATATATCTATCGGTGCAAAATAACCTAAACACATTCATCGGTACAAAATAGCCGTTTATGACTTCTTAATTTTGATATGTAATGTTTTCGAATATGTTTGCATCAAAGATGTAGGAAAGTTAGTTCAGTCTTTCTCAGTATAATTCAAACATCATAAAAATTTCCACTACATAATGCGAGGACGCTTCGTTGGCATTTTACAGCTAAGTACTAACTAGTTTTTGTTTTTCAAACTCTTAACTACAGCTATTTTTAATTATATATTGATTCACCTCGTATGCAATGTTCTTTTTCATGTAGTTTTTGTTCAAATTCTTATATCAGAATTTAAAAAAATCTGTCATTACAATGTGTTTTTATTTCTCTTTAGTCATTTAGTGAGGCTTTAACTCATAATAAAAGAATCAGAATAAGAATATTTTAAGGAATTACGCTTTCATACACACTGAAAACATTTAAAGGATAAAGAAGCCAGCTTAAAGAATAGTATATTGTAATGCTCGAGAGCTATCAGCATTAAAACCTCCCACAGTTGAAACTGGAAACCATACATACAAATTATTTTCCAAAACTTACATTAACACATTTATTTCATTTACCAATTGAATAGAACAAATTCGGTAAATAATTTGTTACATTAATAAAATAATATGCAAATATTTGCTGTAAATAGACTTTTCGAAGCAAGTCTGATTTTTTTTAATCTCTTAATAGAATTTGCAAGCTCCAAATCTTTAATCAGCGGTTATTTAGTGATATTTTAAAGATTAGACTACGAATATTCACAGCAAATTAATTTATTAGCGAATAAATATTTATCAGGCAGCTAATGAGAAATATGCTAGAAAACTCTCCACCCCAGTAGTATTGGATATATTTTCCCTCTGACTAAAACGGCTAATAAAGAAAGTAAAAACTGAGTTCTAGCTAAATTCGAATGAAGAAAATAGATTATTTAGTTAGGGTAAGTACACAAGGAACATATCCCTAAGCTTCTTCATAGCTTTGACTGAGAACAGATCCCACAGGATAGAATATGAGAAGACTGTGAAACAAGTACAGACTGGGAAAAGCCAACACCTGTGCATACAAGTAGGCATATCAGGTATCGCCGGGCCTTGCTAACTGCTACACTTCCACCCCGGATGGAATTTCGAAGGAGAATATCCCGGAGTGTGGTCTGAGGGCGTCCAGACCTTCTCATTTCAGCACGCTGTGTAGTTTGAGTGCTCCCTTGTCGCATAGCACTACACGCTTACAAATATCCATACTCTCTCGAGATTCGAACCCAGGCTTTCTGTACAATAGTCAGTCACTTATTTCTACACATCTCAGTGGCATCTGAGATGTGTAGATTTCTTTCCCTGCCGCCCCCATCTTACGACATCTTTCGTATCAATACATTTCAAGCACTTCTATTCCCTGAAGGCATTACGCCGCCATAAATCTACGTGTCTTCTCCTGGATCCAAACTAAGCTTAACAGCTTCCAGTTATGACTAAGTATTATCATATGTGGTTTTTATTTTTTATTATTTTGGCTAACAACTCAAGGGAAGTTTTGAGCTGTTGTTTGTTTTGTGAAACATGGATTTTTAGATTTAGAAGAAGATTTTGTAGATGTATTAAATTTTATCATAGCAGGAAACACGAAAGATCAGCCCTTGCGGAGTCTCGAACCTCTTATCTTCCATTGTTACTGAGTCGTGCTATCACATACATCACAAAAGCATGCACGAGAGAATGCTATGATTTCTTAACGTTTATCGAGTGCTGCCTATGTCGTACAGGATTTGAGGCGTATATACAATCGATATTTGGGATGAATTATTGAGAAGAAAAGACTACTTATATTCCGTTTTACATCGTAAATTTTAAGTAAAAATCATGAAACATTTATACATACATTACTTCATAGTTAGATTTGCAAGTCTTATTTATAAACAAGCAATTAAGTATTGTATATTTCATCATCATCATCATAGGTGGCTAGGCAGTCCATTGTGGACCAGAGCCTTCTTTTGAAGATTTTCCCCACGAGATGACTCTGGTTATCATCGATCTCCAGTTCCCTCACTAATTGTCAGAAAATTCGACTCCTCTGAATCAGCCCATCTCAGCTGCGGTCTTCCCCGTTTTCGGGCTCCAGTGGGTTTGAAAAGCAGTTCTTTTTTTTATAACATTGTCATTTCGCATTCACAGATCAGGTGAACCATGAAATGCATTCTGTTAATTTTTATATATTTTAAGGTATCGGGTTGTTCATATATCTTGTAAAGGTCAAAGCTGTGTGTCTTCCTCGAAATATTATTTTCATTTATACCACCATGAATACTTTGTAGAATTTTTCCTTCAAAACAGCAAAACGTTTATTCGCTATTTTTCAGGTCTCAGAAGCATATATCTAAACAGGCCTGATAAGCGTTTTGTCGCGTTTGTTAAATCGAAAACTTCTTTTTTCTTGAAAATAATCTGGAAAACTTTCTTAATCCATAGAAAGTCTTATTTGACAGACATAGCCAATTCTAGATTTCAGGAGATAATCTGTTAGCAGATTATCTAATAATAGATCCCAAATAGATAAAATTCTTTGCAGATTCAGATTTACAGGAGTCCATTTCAAGACAGACAGCTGGGATTCTATTTCTAGAAAAACAAATAAATTGTATTGCAGATTTATTAGCATTTATAACCAAGATGTTTCTCAGGAAAGGTATAATTTGTATTTATACAGTATAAAGTAACAAGCAAGCTATCGTAAACTAAATGAAAGTGCATATGGTTTGCATTTGCAACTCATGAAAAGTTAACAGTAAAGCAAGCGCGTAACCAAACGCTAGAAAACAGCCTCCATTTTCCGCAGCGCCACTCTAACGGACAATTTAAAAATAACTAGCCAACTCAACCATTAGTCAAGTTTCGGCGGGTTTTTTTTTGTACGGACATAAGTTTCCCCCTTCTCTCCCGGTAAATGTCTTTATGTTACTTTTATTAAATTTGTCACGTAATTCTTTTATGTAGTGTCTATGCTTTAATTAAATTTATTTTGTTAAATATGCAAAGTTTATTTCCAAATTAAAATTTTTTTCAGTTGCGTAAAAGTTTCAGCTATCCAGTGAAACAACGAGACATAAAAGAAAATGGCAGCCCAACGGTGAGCCTCGAAAATTGGAAATTATTCAAAAATAAAAAGTCATGCTTCTTACCGAAACCCGAGCTCAATTATGTTTTCTAGCTTTTCCTGTGTTAAAGGAAGAAAATTAGCACCATGATGGATATGAACAGTTTTTTTCCCACTCTTGTAACAAATAAAGCTTATGACGTTATTGAGAACATACGTGGGCATACGTGACTGATCGTGTGAAAACTATTCTTTTCTGAAACGACACATAAACGAAAAGTACCACATGCTCTCCAACAGAAATGCCATCACTTTTCTAATAAGAGATACAAGAATCATAATTATTATACATCTTCACTTCTTAGGCATGTGGATAATATAGAGGTATAGCAAAATTGCACATGTATAATACTCAGAAATTGAGAAATGTTTAAATATGCTGGTATTTAGACTTTTGGCCAAAAAATAGGATAGAATTGTAAGCAGATTTAATGCAAATGGATAAGTAAATAAGTAAATTAATACATTTCTGCATCTAAAAACATTAAGTTAAACCATTGTTATGATTCATTCGTGCAAACAGTATTTTATTATTTCCTAGTATTCCCAAAAAGACGTAAAAAGTAAACAGTTTACAGGACATACATATTATTTAGAAGAGCTCTTGATAAATCTATTTTATAAAATTTTATAAAACTTGAATTCTTAACCAGACCCTCCCAAAATGTTGTGCACGCTTTAAACTTTCCTTTAAACTTTAATTTTGGAATCTTTAGGAATGATTTGATGGAAATCAAAACTTCACTAGAATTTCCAAATACTTTAACTATATTTATAATCTGCAAATGAAATTTATAAAATTCAAATGTAATAAAGAATTTCTTCCGTCGACATAAATAATTTAGAATTTTTATAAGTAAAGCTTCTATACTCATTGACTTTTAGCAAAATAATCTTAAAACATCACACTTAAATAAAAGCATAGAAGAATTAAAGGAAAACATTAATATATCTTTTTTGTATTCATGACAGCAGCAGAAACGGCACGACTTTCAAACATGTAGTATGACACTTCAGATTAACAGATGAAGCGCCTTAATGGCACTATTTGGTAACTTAAAGATAATCTAATGAATTAGTGCTCGTTTAGTGGCAATAGTCAAGAACATTACACATAATATACTTCAATATAGTGCAGTTTGAAACTATTATTTCTCCCACAGGTAAAGCTGCAACTATTATTTCTCCCACAGGAGAAAATTGATAGACATTACTTAGCACGTTGCTTTTTCCTTTGTCAATAAGCGTTTTACGAACTGATGATTTTAAACAAATCTTAAATAAATTAGATAATATTTCTTTCGTTAAAAG